CTGTTTGTGATTTCTAGCTTCATACCTGTCTTAGTTATCTCGTGCTGCTGTAACAGAAGTACTACAAGTGGATCACTTTAACAAAGACAAATTTATTCTCTCACAGTCTATTAGGTTTTAAGTCCAAATTCAGGGTGTCACCTTCAGGGGAAGACTTTCTCTCTCTGTTGGCTCTAGAGGAAGGTCTTTGTCATCAATCTTTCCCTGGTCAAGAAGCTTCTCAGACACAGGGCCCTCAGGTCTACAGGACGCACTCTGCTCCCGGTGCTACTTTCTTGGTGATATGAAGTCCCCCTGTCCCAGTCTCTTTGCTCGCTTCTCTTTCATATCTCAAAAAAGATTGGCTTAAGATACAGTCTAGCCTTGTAGAGCTCATCAACATAACTGCCACTAATCCATCTCTTTAACATCATAGTGATAGGATTTACAACACGTAGGAAAATCACATCAGACGAGAAAATGGTGAACAACCACAATACTGGGAATCATGGCCTAGCCAAATTGATGGATGTTTTTTCGGGGGACACAGTTCAATCCATGACAGTACCGTTATGGTCAGAGAAGATGCTTTGTATGATTTTAATCTTTTTAACTTTGTTGAGACTCTTTTTGTGTCCTAGCATATGGTCTGTTCTGGAAAATGATCCATGTGTGCTGGAGAAAAATGTGCATTGTTCTGATGCTGGGTGGAGTGTTTTACATATGTCAGGTCCAACTGGCTTATGGTTTTATTTAAGTTCTCAGTGTCCTTAGTGATCTTATTTTTAGATGTTTCTGTAATTGAAAGTGGTGTGTTGAACTCCCCTACTATTATTGTGGAGTTATCTGTTTCTCCTTTCATATTAGTCAGTATTTGTTTCATGTATTTTGGTGCATTGCTGTTAGGTGCGTATATATTTATAGTTGTTATGTCTTCTTGCTTGATTGACCCCTTTATTATTTGTGATGTCCTTTATCTCTTGTAATAGATTTTGATTTAAAGTCTACTTTATCTGATTTCAGTATGGCCACTCCGTTCTTTTTTTGTTCACTGGTTGCATGGAATATTTTTCTCCATCCTTTTATTTTCAGTCTGTTTTCTTATGTGTACGGTGTGTTTCTTGTAGACAGCAAAAGTATATATCGTGTTTTTTCACCCATTCTGCCACTCTCTGCCTTTTACATGGGGGCATTTAGACCATTTACATTTAAAGTTATTACTGAAAATGAAGTGTAGCCACCATTCAGTTTGGTATTTGTTTTTTGAGTTTGTTTTTTTTTGTTGTTGTTGTTTTATTCTGATTTTTCTGTTTTTGTTTGTATTTGGCTGCTTTTTTGTGATGAGTCTTTTTGCTTTCTCCCTTCCTTTCTTCTGAATGTTTTTTTCTTGGTGATTTCTTAGTGGTTACCACGTATATTCTGTTAGGCAAGTTACAACTGCAACAATGTTTAACATGACCAACAGTTAACATACAGCCTTAACATGATAAATCTATTCCTTACGTGCTCCTCCGTCTCCCATTTCTGTTGGTATGTCTCCATTAACATGGCTATACAACCTATATTCGATAAGTTTACTTTGTGCTTATTTCTTACAAACTTGATGTTGTGTTGTTTGCGGGATTTAATATTAAGTTTATTTCCTGAAAATATCATACTTGGTTCTTATGATTGCCTGTGATGTTTTGCTTTTTGAAGATCTTTCTCTCTTATTTTTTATTTATTTTTTCCCCCGTGTGTAGATATGAGTATTTATTTAATGCAGTGCTCTTGCCTTTGCATTTGGAGTACTCTCTTGAATAATACTTGTAAAGTTGGTCTGGTAGTGGCAAATTCCCAGAGCTTCTGTTTGTTTGGGAATTGATTTCCCCCTTGTTTTTGAATGACAGCTTTGCTGGGTAAAGAAGTCTTGATTGACTGTTGTTTTCACTCCGTATTTTATATATGTCATTCTGTTGTCTTCTGGTCTCTAGAATTCCTGTGGAGAAATCTGCATTGATTCTTATGAAGGACCTTGGCATGTTATATGCATTTTTCAGAATTCTCTCCTTGTCTTTGGTTTTTGAGAATTTTATTAGGATATGGTGCAGAGTTGATCTTTTTTGTGTCTCCTCATTAGGGCGGCTTGGTTCTCTGTTCGTGTCTGAGAAATTCTCTGTTGATTATCTCTTGGAAAATTGTTTCTATGCTTGTATTGTTGTCATGGTGCTCTAGGGTTCCAATAGTTCTAATATTAGATTTCTTAATTGAATCTCATTTTTCCTTTTGGGTTTGTTTGCTTTTCTTTGTTCTTTTCTCATTTCTCTTGAAACTTGGTAAGTTCAGTTATTTTGTCCTCTAGTTTGTTTAGTCTGTCTTCTGTCTGTTTGACTCTGTTGTTGAGCATTTCTGTTGTTTTTTCTAATTCAGTTGCTTTATTCTTCAGTTCCCGTAGTTCTCTTTGTCTTTTTCTGATGTTGTCAGTGTCCTTGTTGAGACTCTCATTTTGCTTGTTCTTCCATTTGTTTCCTGATCTCCGCTAGGTTTGTCTTCTGTGTGCTTTTTGCTTTCTTTAAACATTTTTAGCACTGTAGTCTGAAAATTATAAATTCTTCTCATCAGTCTGGTCTCCGTAGGAGAAATTTCCTCTTCTTCATGTCTTGCTTTTAACCGGTCCTTCTTCTCTTGTGATTTTGTGTGTTTTCCTATTTATAGTTGAACTTGGGCCATTGTGTTATCTTTATTTATTTATTTTTACTTTAAATCTTGTAATCTAGTTTTTGTGGGGAAATTTTCTGATTTAACACCCTGGTAACACAGTGGCCAAGTGTCTGGCTGCCAACTGAAAGTTTGAGTCCCTTACCTACATGCTGCTGTGTGAAAGAAAGATATGGCGGCCCTCATCTGCAAAGACTCACAGCCTTGGGAACCCCATAGGGCGGTTCCACTCTGCCCCACAGGGTCTCTGTGAGTCAGTATTGAACCTGCGGCAGTGGGCTTGGTATCTTCTCCTGAGAAGCGCTAGAGAGCATCTTAGCCTTAGGTTTTTTTCAGTGCTGATTCAGGAGTTCTGGATGCTTGATCTCTGGAATTCAATATGCATGCACTGGAGGGGAGATTTAGCTGGTCTAAGATGCTGGTGGGGCTCGACTTTGTCCTTTGGCAAAGGTGGGAGGCTTTTTATGTCTTTCCCTCACAGGTGGCCCTGCACAGGTTCTCCCATAGTGTCCTGCTGTGGGCAAGGAGCCAGTCCTTTTCCTCTGTGTCGCCCCTCAGTCTGAGGTATTCCCTTCGCCGTGTTGCCCTTGTAGTTCCTCCTTGTCCTCGTGCCCACCCATGTCAGGCCTCAGTGAGATTCAACAACAGTCTCTCGCAGCACCAGGATCTCCCTTCGCCCTCTTCCAATTGCATAGTCTGTGAACTCCCACGGCCAGTTTGCGCCGTCTGAAAAAATCAGGCTGCAGCTGCCTTTCTGTGTTGCTGAAATGTTTGGGAACTGTTTAGGATGTTGCCCAGCCCTGTTCTGAAATGGCTGCTATGAGTGAATGCTTCCAATGTTAGTAGGCAGGTTCTCCCAGCTTCTGCGTTGTCCTCGCTCCTCCTCTTCCGCACTTGTGACCTCACCTTGACTCTTTTACACCTCAGCTGCTGTCCAGAGTTCTGAGATCTCAGTCTGTGCTCGATTTTATTCGTCATTCAGTGAGTTAGTTTCTGGGGGAGTAAATGTGAGCATCCACTCTGTCATCTTGCTCCGTCCTCCCTACCCTCCTTTTTAAAAGACACATAGAACAGAGGTAGTCGTAGAAACTTGTTTAGCCTAAATTTGAAGTAGAGCATTGGTCTTTAAAGAAAAAAAAGCTGTTTCCACGTTGAAGATTTATAAAGTATGACAAATTTAGATATTTTAAATACTTAGTCTGTCCTCTAGCCTCTTTTACCCTATCGGGAAAAAGAGGGTCAATAATTTCGGCCCCTTCCTAATTCAGGGGGTCAGAGAGGTAGGATGAATTTTAGAATTGTTACATACAATTGAGGTAGTAACATTTCGAATTGTCTTTGCTGTTTTGCAAATGCTATAACTCTTATTAGGAGCCCTGGCGGTGCAATGGTTAAAGTGCTCAACTGCTAACCAAAAGATCAGCAGTTTGAACCCCCCAGCCACTCCGTGGGAGAAAGATGTGGCAGTCTGTCTGTGTAAATATTTATAGTCTTGGAAATCCTTTGGTGCAGTTCTGCTCCGTCCTGTAGGGTCACTATGAGTCAGAATCAACTTGGCGGCAGTGGGTTTGTTTTAGGGTTATAACTCTTACTTTTCAGTTACCACATTTATTTCCTGGTAAACTGATATAATACTCTTGATGCATTTATTTTCTCTAGTACCTTTAAGTTCAGTTCTTTTGATGATACTATATGAATCCTGTTGGCCAAAGTTTACCTTTTTTTAAATGTAAATAGTTCTTTATATTTATTCATATAATCCCTGTTTCTGGCTTTAGGTATTTCATACTCATTCAGTGAGACTAGCATTGTTTCTCTTAAACTTACAGGTATCTACTCTAGTGCTCAGCTATGTAAAGTAAAATATTGTATGCACTATTTTAAGAAGGGCCACTGTTAAAAAAAAAATCTTTTACTTAATTTGATTGAATTCTGATAGCCTTAGTGATATCTTTTCTTTCCAGAAAGACAAACATGAACTTTTTTTTTAAGTGTAAAACTTCTTTTTTTAAAATGTACTGCTGTAACATTGAAGGAGAATTCTGTAAAACAGATGTAGAGCTATTTGTCATAAGGAAAGACTTTTCAAAAATGGTCTTTTTGAGAGGGTTAAATGGATCACAACTTTAGTACAGACTTGATAAGGGAGACTTCGGACTTTCTTTTCAGATATCAGTTTCAGTAATTTTTACAGTAGAATTTATTAGCTGTCTATTGGAATTATTGCTGTTAAATCTGATCATACTTGGACATGACCTTTCTGAGTTGTAGGTACATAACCAAGAAGGATTTGGTGCTGTTATAACTTTGCTTTTCTTCCACAGAACTATTGCACGGCCAAAACATTGTACATATCTGATTCAGACAAGAGAAAACATTTCATGTTGTCTGTAAAGATGTTCTATGGCAACAGTGATGACATTGGTGTGTTCCTCAGCAAGCGGATAAAAGTCATCTCCAAACCTTCCAAAAAGAAGCAGTCATTGAAAAATGCTGACTGTATGTATACTTGAGTTCTCTCTCTCTCTCTTTTTTGCCCCCAACTCCCGTTGTGATTTAAGAAGAAAAATTAAACTGTTGTTTCTAATTAAAAATTGCTGTTTTGATTGCCAATTTATACTTTACTAATATACTTGTCGCCCTTAACTGCATCTGAAAATGTCACATTCAATCATTATTGCTGCTTTATTATTTAAAAAAAAAATTTTTTTTTTTTAAACTGAAAATGGACAATGCCTGGTCTAGTGAAGTGGTTCTCAGCCAGAGTTGGTTCCTTACTGTTCCCTAGGGCATTTGGAAAAATGGGAGGCTTTTTTTCCCCTTTTGTTGTCGTAGTGACTAGAAGAGGTGCTGTTGGCATTGAGTATCTTGGGCCAGTGATGCTATATAGCCTGTAGTGCATTCACCTACAAAGTCAAAAGTATACCTTTGAGAAACACTGTTATTGTGTCAGTTAGTGTTTAGAGGGCCATCTTGGGAACCTAAACACAATTTTGTAGATCTCATCAGCAAATTTTTTGACTGTCAAAGATATAATATACTAGTCTGCATAAGCTATATGCTTCATCCCCACACACTACCCCCCATTGTTTTTTTTTTAACTTTTTATAATGAAAACTTTCAAATGTACATAAAAGGGAAAAAGTAGTATGATGTAGCCATCTACCCAGCCTCAATATGTTTTACCTATTCTGTTTCATTATCTCCATCACCACTACCACCTCCTTCAATTGCTGGAATATTTTCATGTGAATGTCAGACATCTTCATTAACCAAAGTTTCTGCAATATTAACTTTTCTTTTTTTTTAAATTGTGGTGAAAATATACACAAAAAACATACACCAGTACAACAGTTTCCACATGTATAATTCTGTGACGTTGATTACATTCTTTAAGTTGTACAACCAGTCTTGCTATCCTTTTCCAAATTATTCCACCACTGTTAACATAAACTCAGTGCCCCCAAACAAAAACTCTTCCCCCTTCCTCCCACTCTGGTAACCATTAATAATCTTTGGTTTGTATATATTTGCTTATTTCATGTAAGTGAGATCATAGACTATTTGTCCTTTTGCAACTGACTTATTTCGCTCAGTATAGTGTTTTCAAGGTTCACCTATGTTGTGTCATGTATCAGGACTTCATTTCTCTTTATGGTTGAGTAATATTCCATTGTATGTATATAACACAATTTTGTTCATTCATTCTTCTGTTGATAGACATCTAGGTTATTTCCACATTTTAACTATTACGAATAGTGTCGTAGTGAACATTGGTATACATGTGTCTGTTTGCATTGTTGCTTTCAAGTCTCTTGGGGTATATACCTAAGAATGGAATAGCTGGGTCATATGAATCACCAAACTGTTTTCCACCGTGACTGTACTATTTCACATTCCCACCAGCAATGGATGGGGGTTCCTGTTTCTCCACAACTTCAACAACACCTGTTGTTTTCCTGGGTTTTTAAAATTATTTCCGTTCTAATGGGGATGAGATGGTATCTTACAGTGATTTTGATTTGCATCTCCATAATGGCTACAGGCTCACTATGAGTCAGAATTCATTTGATGGCAATGAGTTTGTTTGTTTATTTTTTAATGGCTAATGACTTTGAGCACCTTTTCATGTGCTTATTGGCCATTTGAATATCCTCTTTGGTGAAATGTCTGTTTAAGTCCTTTGCCCGTTCTTTGGATTGTCTTTTTGTTGTTAAATTGTAGAGAAGTATATAATTTAGATATTAGATCTTTATTGTTGACATTTCTTTTTAAACATAGTTAATCACCTAACAAACTTAACAGTAGTTCTTTAATGGTGGCATAGTGGTTTAAGTGCTCAGCTGCTAACTGAAAGGTCAGCAGTTCAAACCCACCAGCCACTTCAAGGGAGAAAGATGTGGCAGTCTGCTTCCGTAAAGATTACAGCCTTGGAAACCCTATGGGGCAGTTCTACTCTGTCCCTTAGGGCCTTTATGAGTCAGAATGGACTTGACAGCAGTGGCTTTACTGTCCAGTCCATGCGGATTTATCAAATTATGCCAAAAAAATGTTTTTTTTTTTTTTTTAGTGAAGTTTTACAGAACAAACTAGTTTCTCATTAAATAGTTAGTATACATGTTGTTTTATGACATTGGTTAACAGCCCCACGACATTGTCAACACTTTGCCTTCTCAACCTTGAGTTCCCTGTTATCAGTCTTCCTGTCCCCTCCTGCCTTCTAGTCCTTCCCTCTGGACTGTTGTTCCTCTTTAGTCTCGTTTTGTTTTATGGGCCTGTCTAATCTTTGGATGAAGGGTGAACCTCAGGAGTGACTTCATTTCTGAGCTAAAAGGGTGTCCAGGGGCCATACTCTCAGGGTTTCTCCAGTCTCTGTCAGGCCAGTAAGTCTGATCTTTTCTGTGAGTTAGAATTTTGTTCTGCATTTTTCTCCAGCTCTGCCTGGGATCCTCTATTGGGATCCCTGCCAGAACAGTCAGTGGTGGTAGCTGGGCACCACCTAGTTGTACTAGACTCAGTCCGGTGGAGGCCGTGATAGTTGTGGTCCATTAGTCCTTTGGACTAATGTTTCCCTTGTGTCTTTAGTTTTCTTCATTCTCATTGCTCCCAAAGGGGTGAGACCAGTGGAGTATCTTAGATGGCCGCTCACACAAAAATGTCTTTTTGATTTTTTTATAATTGGTTTGCTTACACCTGGATCCAAACAAGGTTTACACATTTTAATCTGTAATAGTTTTTCTCCTTCCCCACCCTCATCTTTTTTTCCTTCTGCCTTATTTATTCGTTGAAGAAACTGGATCATTTTACCTCTGGGGTTTCCATATTCTGGATTTGGCTGCTTACTTTCTGAGGGTATTAGTGAGCTTGTTCCTCTGTCTTTCATATTTTGCATAAACTAACTGGTAGTTAGACCTAGAGACTTTTAGAATTGACTATTACTATGTACATCCATTTGCATCAGATCAGAAGATATATAATATCTGGTTATACGACTTTTTGTCTTATTAAGATTGAGCAGTAAATTCAACCATTGTTAACCTAATGCATCTGTTACAAAGCTCCTTAGCAACGTTTAACCTAATAGTTTTAGTAGCCATTGATGATGACTGCTTAAATCCATTATTTCATTCAGGGCTGTAAAATGGTGATTTTCTAGTTCTTTTATTCATAACTCCTGCATTTGTTAACTGATTTTTTTTCTACAAGGGGGATCATTGCCATATCAGCTATTTGGTTACCTCACATGTAGTCTGCAGAGAAAAGCAGGATAAATGCTTGATTCTTTTACTAATTTGCAGAATAACGAGTTGATACTATAGTATTCTTCAGAGGTGACCAATGAGGTTTTAGGTTTTTATTATTATTGTTTCCTTTTACTATGAACGCAGGTTTCTTTTTTTTTTTTTTTTTGGTTTGTTTTTGAACATATAGATTCTTATATATTGGATGTGTTTTAATCCACTCAGTCATTATTATTTTTTACTTTATATTACAGAAAATTTCAAACGTATGCCAAAGTAACAGTTGCATAATTAAATAAAACCTCTTGTGTTAGTACTTTAACAGTGATCTTAATTTCAAGCCAGTCTTGTTTCGTCTTCATCTATACCCCATCTCACCCCTATTCCCCTCCCCAGTTTAGTTTATTGTAAATCTCAGACATCATATTGTCTGTAAATATTTCTGTGTATCACTGAAAGATAGGATCTCTTGATTTTTACTATAATCACAATACCAGATCACATAAATACAACTATACAAGGAAATAATTTCTTAGTTTCATCAAATATCCAGCCAGTATTAAAAAATGTCATTTTTTATTAGTTTGTTTGAATCAAAATTTGAATAAAATGCACCACATATATGTATTGTGTTGACATAACCTTTAAGTATTCTGTAATCAATGAATTCATTCTTCTCTCTCGCTCACACACACTCGAAATGTATTTATTCAAGAGGCTGAGTAGACTGAGTCATCTGGCCATTAGAGATTTCCACATACTGGATTTTGCTGATTGCATTCCCTTTGTGTAGTTTAATGTATCTTCTATAACTTGGGAGTTAATCTAGAAGCTTGATCAGATTTAAGGTTGTTTATTCTTTTATTTTTTGTTGGAGGTAGGGCAAAGCCTACTTCATGGGTGGCGGTGTGCTCTTTTATCAAGAGACATAGATCATGTATTCAGACTGGTATATTCAAGTCAAATGTAAGATCACAGGGCTTTACTTAACCTCTTTAACTTTGTATTTGAATGTAAGTTTCTTGATGTCAGAAAACATAATTTTGTTTTTAGGCGGTTTTTCTGCTTATATAGATGTGTTCTGTCATGAAACTTCAAGCAATACAATACTTAAAGGTATTTAGAAGAAAGCAGAATTCTCTAGAATGATAATATCCAGAGGCAATTACTGTCGACTTTGATAAACATCCTTCTAGACCCTTCTCTGTGCATAATTCCATATGATTGGATGCAAGCACACAACAACACACATGCAATCTTATATAAAATTATGTATTTACCTGAATGGAACCACAGTGTACATAGTGTTGTATACCTTGCTTTTTCATTCAGTGATATTCCAGGGAGATATTTTCTTACCAGTGAATTTAGATATACATCATTCATTTAAATAGGTAACTGGTGTTATAATTTATTTAATTATAAACTAATGATTATAAAAGAAAGAGCCTAGATGGTGCAAGCATTTGCAGTTAGCTGCTAACCTAAAGGCTGGCAGTTTGAGCCCACCCAGTGGCTCCGGAGATTACGGCCCAGAAAGCTCTATGGAGGAGTTCTGCTCTCACACACGGGGTCGCCATGAGTCGAACAACTCAAAGTCAGCTAACAAGAACAATTAATAAATGTTGCACTTTTTTTTTTTTTTTTAATTTTTAAAATACTTTTTCCTCTAACGAACGGCACTACATTAAACATACTATGTAGCTCTTATTTAAAAATGACTTTAAAGGACATATTTGGCATCCTTAGTTTGGCAGAAAAAGTTTCGTTGACTTTATTTTTGCATCATCTGTATTTCCTTGGAAGAGCAAAAGATTTGTTAACAGAACCAATTAACCTGTTAAATTATAATAGAGAATACTGGTAATCATAACTTGCTAAGTAAAAGTCCTTTCTGAGTCTCCCCCATTTCCCCACAAAAACCAAAACACCACATAAATTGGAGCTGCTTTTTCTTTGCAGTGTGCATTGCATCAGGAACAAAGGTGGCTCTGTTTAATCGACTTCGATCCCAGACAGTTAGTACCAGATACTTGCATGTAGAAGGAGGTAATTTCCATGCCAGTTCACAGCAGTGGGGAGCATTTTACATTCATCTCTGTGAGTATAAAAAACATGTATTTGATGCTTTTGGTGTGAAGCTGTTAAATTCCTTTTGATAATGAGACCTGTGGCTATATTAGATTTTGTCATTTTCCTATGTAGATAATGATTTCTAAAAGAGAAATAATTTGATCTCTTTGTCCATCCGCTGCAGTGGATGATGACGAATCAGAAGGAGAAGAGTTTACAGTCCGCGATGGCTACATCCACTATGGACAGACAGTCAAACTTGTGTGTTCTGTGACTGGCATGGCACTCCCAAGATTGGTATGGCTCCTCTTTGGCTTTAGTAATTTAAGTAATAAAAATTAATTCTTACAACAGGAGAGCCACATTCATATGTAAAAATGCATCTCAATTTCATACTTTAATTTAACAAGGCATTGGTCCATAGTCACTGCTCCTTGTAATTGACACATATCCCACCTTATGTTACAAATGCTTTAAGGCAGTTGATCAATTTTTATGAATGTATTTTTAATGACTTCCTGTGATACTGTTTCTAATAAATTATAGTAGTTTATTTCCTTTTTGAATGTATATCTGAAAATGTTCAATAGAGGGCACTACAAATTACATTATGATTTCTTAACCATTTTTTCATTTTTTTTACGACACTTGCTATATCCCAACATAGGACCAACTTTCCAAAAGCATAGAAATTCTCATTTATTTTAAAATATATGCATAATTTTTATTAGCTTACTCTCCCACAAGAAGATAGATTTATTAACAATTATGTAACATTGGTATTTCTTACTCTGGGAAGGAGGCATAGTGTTTGGGGCTTTTGGTTCACTAGGAAGATCTTGAAACTGTAAAAACTACTTGTCTTTGTAAAAATAAAAACTAAAGCTCCCCTTCACCCCCCGTTTCTCACCTTTTGTGGAACAGAATATAGTTCAGCTATATTAAAGATGAAGGTCACTGACTGACAAGCAAATTTGATTGAAGGTCAGGTTGAGAGGGTTGGGGGAGTGAAAGAACATTTAGCATTACTGTTCCCAAGCATGCTTTATTTTTAATTCTTTGCTGAAATGTTTTCTTGACTTATATTTTCTGGGGCTGTTTCAGCAGAGGTTGGGTTGATGTATAACCATTTATGTAAATACTACATCATTTCTTTGTTTTTATATTTTTCCTTTTTTGTTTTATTTTTCTATATTATGCTTGTACAAGGTGATTTTATTACCTAGCTCAGTTTAATAAGCTAAAATATGCGAAGGGTAGTAATATTAAATGTATGAAACCTTGAAACTGGGGCAAATTATAAAAAGAGGTCCATAGGGAAGGAAGAATGGACCAGTGGAAAGAAAGAAGCAAACACCAAAACCAAACCACATCAACTTTTACTTGTTCTTCTCATCTCATTCGTTATATGCCACTGTCTTCTGAGGATGTTGTTTATTTGCTTTGGCAGTAAATGCTTATATTACAGAAGCACAATTTCAGAAGCTTATGCCTCTGATCAGATGCACTTGTACTAAAACAAGTGGGATAGCAACAGTGTACATACGAACTACTTGGAAGACAGACCGAATGCTTAAAATACTGTTTTTACTTACAGTTTTATGTAAAGTACCGGTAGTCTGCCTTACTTGAAAGTCATCTTTTAATTAATATTTTTGACACCTGAAGCTATGTGGCTGATTATAACTGCAGACTTCTGAAAAGAACAACTTGACAGTTAAAAATGTTTCTGATCACCATGTTGGACACAACCAATTCGTATCAGACAAATAATACCTATGAAACAAATGACTGGAATATCCCCGCTTAGTAAATAAAGCCTTTCCTTCAATTAAGGACATAGCTAAGACCTAATCATTGTAACTTCCCTAACTAGCAATTCTCTAACTGCCTTTAAAAACCCGGTACAAGCACTGCTTAAACAAGCTCTTTTTTTTGGATGCTTTCTTTTCACGAGCTGCTCCTTACTCAGGAAACCCTGTTAACTCTAATTAACTTGTTAATCCAGTTTTTCCTTTCAGTAAGTGTCTGCACTACCTAGCACACCCACAGTAGAGTTTTAGAGATGGTGAATGTGCTGCCAGTTTTCTCTTTGATGTTGGGATATCTGTCATTGTATGTTATTGGAAAGATTGTCTGAACCTTGCTACTCAAAGTAGATCAGCAGCATTAATATAGCCTGGGAGCTTGTTAGAAATGCAGAATGTAAGGCCCAACTGTGATGTGTTATTGTATAGTGTATACTTTCTGTACTCATAATAGTGATAAAGGTGAAAATTCTCACTTTTATGTGGATTATCTTTTATTTTTTAATTGTCAAAATACAGATAATTAGGAAAGTTGACAAGCAGACTGCCTTATTGGATGCAGATGATCCTGTGTCACAACTCCATAAATGTGCATTTTACCTTAAGGATACAGAAAGAATGTACTTGTGCCTTTCTCAAGAAAGAATAATCCAATTTCAGGTGAGTTCGTAAATTACTGGTGAAATCTAAAATGTGCAAACTATTAAGAAATACGAAACTCTCATTTCATGTTAATTGTATCCAAGTACATGAAGCTGTATTCAGGTATTTATCTCCAGTCCAAGAATCCTTAACACACGTGGTCCGCAGACAAAGATGACAAACATCTTACCTCAGGGAATAACTCAAAATTCTGAAAAAGTTCTCAGAGAAACAGTTTCAGGGTTCTTAATCTGTGGAACAGAGTGTCCCCTCAGAATATCCAAGAACAGATTTAAGATGTTCAGTGAATCTTCTGAAATTGTGTGCAAACATTGTGTATAGATGTGCACGTTCTTCTGGGGAAGGTTCGTAATTTTCACCAGATTTACATTGAGGTCTCCCAAGATTGTAATGATGACATGTTTCGAAAGCTATTTTTAAACTACATTTTTCCCAGAAGGTTTTCATGAGGACATATGACATGAGCAAATGATTCAGCAGGGTAGTTATAGTTTTATGCGAAACTCTTATAGGCAGTTGGAGGCATGTTCCAGAGAGATGAGTACACACAGTCATTCTCAGCCCAGCATTGATGGGCATGCTGAGCCCCCAGGCTAGGTGTTTGAAGCTTGGGCTTGCCAGTTCAGATCTTGGTTTTCTCCTGCTGAAAGTGCATATCTAGCTGCTCTCTAAGCATGAGGGCCTTCTAGTCTCTCTCTTTCCTAGGGGACTATAAAGAGTTGTAAACAGCTGTTACATCATAGATACTGATCTTTTATTAAAGAAATTGTTCAGTTACTGATATACTCTTAATGGTTATTCTAAATGTTATTGTTATCTACTATGATGTCACAGAAATATTGTGTGTTACATGAAAGCTGTTCTACAGAGGGTTTCCATATTGATATTTTGCCTCAGTTTATTTAGGGATTGGCAAAGCACCATGCTTTGGGAAGTTTCTATTAATTATTACTGAATTCTGTCCTGTAAGTGTTAACTATGCTAAAATTCTTTTATACTGCAGGTATATAAAACTCACTTTCTAAACATTTTTTCTTCACAAGGCCACTCCATGCCCAAAAGAACCAAATAAAGAGATGATCAATGATGGAGCTTCATGGACAATCATTAGTACAGACAAGGCAGAGTATACGTTTTACGAGGGGATGGGCCCTGTCCTTGCCCCAGTCACACCTGTGCCTGTCGTAGAAAGTCTTCAGGTGAGATCACTTATTCACAAGTTGGCTTTTAGCTCTCTGTAACTGCTCTCAGCTATGACTTTTAGCATAATTTTTTTTCTGAATAATTTTGATTTTGCTCCAAATCCTTGTGATTGGAAAATTTTGTTACACACCATTTGTTGATAAGAAATGAAAATAACAAGGGATATGCTTATAGGTATGAGAAATTTAAATTTAGTTGCTGACCTTAAGATGTTTGAGCTTTGTCATTTGAAAGAAGCATTTTAATTATTATTATTATTTGCAAATAATAGTTGTATCAGAAACTGACTTGTGTACTTCAATGAAAAAATGCCAGGTTTTCTCAGTGCTATTCTGATTTTCTGTGAATTGCAGTTGAATGGCGGTGGGGATGTCGCCATGCTTGAACTAACAGGACAAAATTTCACTCCAAATTTACGAGTGTGGTTTGGGGATGTGGAAGCTGAAACTATGTACAGGTATTTGATATAACTTCTTACATCATCCAGAATTTTTGAGGAGGGTGGACGCAGGAGATTTCTTGGTTAATCCTGACATTGATAAGAATGTGTTAAGCAACCTTGTTTTAAATCTCATTTCTAAAATTTGCCTTGATTTTTAAAGTGCTTTTAAGTTACTTATTTTTCTTCCTTAGATGTGGAGAGAGTATGCTCTGTGTTGTCCCAGACATTTCTGCATTCCGAGAAGGTTGGAGGTGGGTCCGGCAGCCAGTCCAAGTTCCAGTAACTTTGGTCCGTAATGATGGAATCATTTATTCCACCAGCCTTACCTTTACCTACACACCAGAACCAGGGCCACGGCCACACTGCAGTGCAGCAGGAGCAATACTTCGAGCCAATTCAAGCCAAGTGCCCCCTAATGAATCAAACACAAACAGCGAGGGAAGTTACACAAATGTCAGCACAAATTCCACCAGTGTCACATCGTCGACAGCAACAGTGGTGTCCTAACTACCGTCTTCTTTGCTAGGACTTAACCTGACTTGAGTGCTGCAAAAAGTTGACAAAAAAAAAAAAAAGGAAAGAGAAAAAGTGAACAATCTTTTGTGGTTTCTTGGGAAAACTTTTCATATCAGGTGATCCTGTTCAGAAACCCCGTTACCTGCAAATGCTGATTTGAAATGCAGAAGCCACAGTAAAACAAAACCATCAAAATGTAAAAACTCTATTGGAAATTGATTTTTTTCAGCTGTTTTTATTTGGTTGGTTGGTTGGTTTTTGTTTGGTTTTGTTTGAATGGGCAAGAAATAGAAATGTGGCTGGAATAAAACTTAAGCAAACTAGAAGACACAAACCTAACATAGTTTTTATGGACCAAGGAACTTGTATAAGCTTTAGTAAAAGGTACATGTTCACCATACCTTTTTTATATTACAGTATATAGTACACCTTTTGTTACCAAATAGGTTGTTCCCCTGCGCCCACTTTGAGCTTTTGCTCTAAAGTACCTTCAGGTTCCAAGCCTGACCATGCTTGTTTAATCTAATTACCATACTCTTCCAGGTTTTTTTGGTCTAAGGCCAGAACCATTTTTTGTTTTGTTTTGTTTTTTAAGCTGAAGTTATGACTTTTCATGAATTGAAATTGTTTAGATTTCAGCAAGTCAAATCTTGTAAAGGCCTGCATATTTTTTTTTAAGATTATATGAAGTCTGTGCAAAAGCTTTAAAAAATGCCTCTGCCTTGCCTGCAATACATGCAATGTACGTTAACTTAGTCTCTATTCTCAGACACTGTTGTTAGTTATTTCTGTGTTTTCTTTTTTATTTTAAATGTATTTATGGTGGTAATTCAAGAGGTTCTACCATTTACATGAAATTAAATGTGGCCATTTAGTCATTAATGAGTCAGTGGCACAGAACCTGTTGGTATTAGAAGGGTTCTCTCCCCTTTTCCCATACATAAATGCATCTGTGTTCCAGGATTTGTTCAGGTTTTTTTTCTCTCTTAATCTTGTACATAACTTGTATTATGTGTAAGTTAAACATTTTATTTTGAACTTGGAATCTTCCCAGTGATTTCATTCAGCAGGGTGTTTTCTGCCTTGTTGGCATATGGAAAAATATCATGAGAAGTGTTTGCTACCAGTTGGGTAGATGGTGCCCCTATTGTATAATGAGGAAAATCTCAGCAAAAGCATGTTTTTATTATCTTTACCTTTTTTTTTTTTTTTTTGTAGCCTAGGCCAAAACATCATTATACTCTTAAAACATGCCTTTATTACGTGTTAAACTGAAATAGCTGGAAGACAGTACAGTACTTTAGAAACAGAGTTGTAAGATTATAAAAATGCAAATGTAACTTATGTCTCCATTTCTCTCCCCCTTTTTTTGTCTTCTCTCCCCAGTACTGAGCATCTCCAATCCTGTATGTACTCTCAGTTCCCACAAATGCCTCCCATTTAGAAAATGTTTCTTTTCCATTCAGTTAAGATTGGTTGCATTCAGATTTATGTTGGCCTTGCATGCCCAGCTTGCCATTTTTACATTGCTCGCATTCTTGCACTTTGATTATGGCTTTGTTTGGTTTCTTAGAAATTGCAGCAGACTTATTGGACTACATTTAGCACGAGAACCACGTGTGTAATTTTGTAGGACACAGTCTAGTAATACAATCATCCTTCTTAGAGTAAAAACTACCTCTAGATTGTGGTAAGCTTTTACTGTCCCATAAAACAGGAGCCACAAGTACCTTACGAGTGCAAAACCATAATTTCCTACAGTGTTTCCATACAGAACGTTTGTCTTTCTGGTGTCCTGGGTTATTTTGGTAATGTTTCCATCTGTAGACTTAAAAAAAGTCATTATCAGTGCATCTTTCTCTTTAATTTCAGCTTTGCTGTCTTCGTCATTCACTATTGTGTTCAGACTATGCCACTGTAATGCAATTTCTAATATCTTTTAACTTCTTCCTCAGTTTTTAAGGTAGAGTTCATTTGTGAAACATGGTAGGTGGTTAAATCAAAATTATTGTGGTTTTCTCTTACTGCAAGCCTTTTTAAGTACCCACCCATAGGCTTCAGAATACTATTTAGCCTTCTGTTTTCAAATCTGCTCTAGTCACTAGCTTCTCTCTTATGAACTAATTTTGCCTCACTCCTTAAATCTGTTTCAGTGAACAAGGGCAGAACTCATTGTGGCCTTATCTTTGTTTTAACTGTTTACTGGCTTTTACTTGCAGACTTGCTTATTTATGAGTGGTAGTTATTCTCTCTGTTAGTCATAGAAGTAGTCATTACACAGTGCTTTTGTTCAGAGTGTGGAAATACTTTCAGTGCTGCTTTACTTTTAATGGGCCACACATTTCCTCCACTTCCTAGGTTTGGTATTTAGTTGAGAAATTATATTAAATTAACCAATAACAGATGAGATGCTTTTTAAGAACAAGCTATTCCATACCAAGCTTTGCAGCTCAGAATAATTTTTCAAGTTCATGGCTTTATGAAAATGAACTTTTGTTTAATGTTTATATCTTATTTTTTTTAATAAGATAATCTTGAAGTATTAGACTGTAAATCCTTTCCTGTTTTTTTTTTTTGAAAAGTCCAAGAATGTACTTACATAGGCATTTTCCCCGTCTGTTTTATAAAATGCCATTCTACATACTGCAGACTAAAGTGTGAAATGATTTGTCTGTAGTAGCTTATTCTTTATCAGTAGTTTTTTTTTTTTTTTTTTTTCTGTCAGCTGTTTTAAAAAAAAATCCTTTTCATGGATTTGTGAATCATTTTTGGTGTATAATTGATAGGAGCCTTGCCCTCCAGGTAACATGGAACATATCCCCTTCCCCAGTAGTGGCATTCTTAGAGATGTTGGCCATTTGCTGGCATAAAGACTCTTAGAATGGTGAATGCTTCAGTTCACATTCTGAGTTCTTTTTTAAAATTCTGTTCAACAAGTGTTTCTTTATGCTCTCATGATTCTATGCAATATCTAAAAATGTGCATGGAAGCTGAGCCTGTGATCCAGTGAGTTTTTATTAGCTCCATTGAAGTTATCACATAGATTGGGAAGGCAAGCTAACGTCTGTAAACGTAGAATGCCCTTTATATTTTGAATGATTTCAGAGTTGAACACTAGCATAATACTTAACCTGCTGCTGACTTTTCTTAGACTGTGGCAACTAAAGGCACCCCATATATGATTAATTAGTGAAATATTTGTCACTCTCACTTCACAGACTCATTTGTGATAACTGGTTAGTTTTTTCAAAGTTTTTGGGGCTCCCCCCCCCCCAATGAAACTGGTACCATCTGTGCCGTCACAGAAAATTTCCAGTGCAGTTTTTAAGAACAAAACTAACTAGCTATTCATGTTTAACCAGATAATCCACAGGGGATTTCTTTTTGAAACTAAGTGCTATTCACTTATTAACCAAGTTACTTAAACTTTTGATTTCAAAAGCAGCTGTGTTTCTGATGAGTACTGAACAAATGTGTGTAATTTTCTGTGCCAGACTTTTGACTTTGTTTTCAAGCACTGTAATGTGGGATGGATGGTTAGAAACAATAATATATTAGGGTTTCTATTTAACCCTTTCAGGACTGAACTGTATCTCCTTTTATTAATTTTTCCCTGTGTCGTGATAAATGTTTGCCAGCAGTCAGTACTGTGTTGGTTCAGATGTAGGTTTATATGCTCATTTTTAGCTTATTTCTTGTACCTTGCAGCATGCTGTACGCATTCAGTCCTTAAGGGGTTTATTTTACAAACTGTGCGCCTGTAAGGTTTATTAGCAATAAGATAGAAAATTGAGCAAATTTATACCATAATTTTGTAGGAAAAAAAAAAAGAATCTGCTCAGTCCCATATTTCATCCATGAAAAACCTGCAATATGGGCAGTTTCAAGGAATAAATAAAAATGAAATGTAAACCATTGTAAAAGTCTTTTGTTGACTATGCCTGATGCATGTATTACCATCTTTGATTTCAGAATACTTCATAAAGGTAAAATTAAATTCCGTATAACAGTTTGTGTGTTTACAGCCTTGCCTTGCCATCTACATCACATAAAATGATAGCTGTGTTAATTTCCTTTTTAATGTTTTTAATTAAGTAGTGCTTTAAAGAGAGATGTGGTGGAGGGTTGTTTTTTTTTTTCCTCCCATGTGAATGGGGAAAGGGGCTGTGTCACTCACTGGGCTCTCTCCCAATTCTGGATCATTTAAAGCTGATCTCAACAAAATTGGAGAGTATTATTTAGCAACAGCTTGCTCTTCCAATATCAGGTTGTCGTCTGGTCTGGTGTTCAAAAGATCATACAGCATATGTTATATATAAGAACATATATGATCCAATCCCTTATTGTAAATAGTACATGATCATTTTCTGAGATCTATCAAAGATACATTAAATACATTCTCTTTTTCCTTTTTGGTCGTTGAACCAACCCTTACGTGATTACCAGTTAGAAAAATGCGGAGGGCAACTACATCAAGTTCCATATCTAGCAAAGTGAGGACTCATTATAGAAGGAAGACACCCCCCCCCCCAAAAAAAAGAAAAAGATACATTACAAAGGAAAGCCAAAAAAATAAGTTTAGCCTTAGAAAATGGTTGTAGGAGACAGATTAAGCTGATGTATATGAAGTACAAATGAAGTGATTCATCTTGACCAAGAGGTTAGAGCCTAAAGCGGAAGGCCAAGATATGGCTCTATAAGCCAGAGGTCCTGGGAGGACCTAAAAGACTAGACAATTAAACACATAACTCTGTGGAAAGGCTAAGGTCATTTTGCATACTTGGCTCACAGGTGTTGAATAAATGCTTAATTAGAACTGTCACGTTACACATGTACAAAGTCACATTACTAATCTTATGGGTTATCAAAATACTAATATATATTCTCTAATACAGAAAAGGGAGGTTTTAACTACAAAAAAAATTCATGCTAAACACAAATGGACTATTTTGTAATTTGCAGAATCTTTTGCTTTGGGAGGGTGGTACTTTAAAGTGGTATATCCTATGAGGTTTTATTTTTCTTTTTTAAAGGTAAGTATGAGCCTTAATTAAGGAGCCCTGGTGGCACAACAGTTAAGTGCTCGACTACTAACTGAAAGGTTGGCGGTTCAAACCCACTCAGTGGCTCTGCAGGAGAAAGACCGTGATCTGCTGCTTTAAAGATTACAGCTAGGAACCCCTGTGGGGCAGTTGTACTCGGGTCATGTAGGATCGCTGTGAATCAGAATCAACTCAGCGCAAATAACAACAAGCCTGAGCTTTAGGTGCATCAAGTCCTTTCTAGCATATTGATTGTAGTCCCTGCTTTCCATCTCCGTATCCCACTGCCGTATTCTACTTGTTCAGTAAAGACTAACACCTCAGCCAGTCATTTCTTGCACCTTTACCGAATTGATGGTTTCTCCTGGTGCAGGGAAAAGGCTTGGGAAGAGGGAATCTTTATTTATTTAAATCTCAAACTAGCAATCCACAGTCCTGCCACCCACAACCTCATCATATAAAGGAGTAAGGAGTGTGACTCATTTATTCGCACAGTGGCTTCTTGAGCTGTCTTTGACACCTTTTTTCCTAGAACAGCTCCTTTCTACCTGCCGTGCTGCTTGCTCTCTCGTTTGTCCTCCCTCATCACACAACACCAAGTTTGCTTTTCTCACTTGATGAACTCCTGCTCCTTAAACCTTCACAGTTCAGTTCTTAACGGAGCACTCAGATTTTTAGCTGATGGAATGGAAAGTTTGAGGGAAAAATAATTGTGACTTTGATCGTAGTTGAACAATCAGTATAATCACTTGGTGCCTGTCAAATGCAGGAGGGAAATAGGACAGCTTTTATCCACAGATTGCATTCATCCAGCAAGTATCCACTGAGCACGTGCTATATGCCACACAGTGCAAGGCCCAGGTGTATAATCCAGAACCAAAAGGACAAATTAGTGTTTACTGTTTATTATATCTAGGATGTTATAGGCCAAATATGACACAATAATCGTGTCATATTTGAATAAATATGTATTGAAGGACTTTGTTCATTGCCTACAGCATTAAATTCGTTAGCAGAGCTCATAGCTATGATTCATTGTCTTGGAAATTTAAAAAAAAAGTCTTGGCATGTTATTTTGGCTCTTGGTTGTATTTTTTTTGGTCATAATGTATATGCTGAACTAGATTCACTCTGCCTATAAGTTATTTTCAGTGGCTTGAATATTGGCAGCTTTCCATTTCTGTGTATGAGGAAAAAATTGTAGTGGTTGGAGTAATTTGTGGTAAAGGAAGACAAGGTTGGAAGCCCTTACTACCCCGCGCAGTGAGGAATGACCCAGCCCTATAATGTGTCTTTGCATCTTTCAGGAGAGTGGTCCCTTGATAGATAATTTCACACTGTCCCACCAGATGAATGGACATCAGGCTATCAAGAGGTGTGCCTACAGGATGAAATGTAGCAGAAACCAATTTTCTTTATAATTATTTGAGGCCTGCCAAATCCTACTGTGGTGTTATATTGACTGTGCGTGGTTTTCGTGTAATTGCCCTGAAAACAAAGAGTAAATAGATCACACTGTCTTTGTTCTCAAGTGAGATACTAACAAGAAACAAGTTACTGTGTGGTCATAACATGTGCGCTAGAGATGTTTTCTCCTCTGCTACCACACTCATATTCACTCTGTATGGCTAGGGAGTGGTCACTGGATCCCTAGCACCTTCTAGCAGCATACATACTGGTGACAGTGGGAGAATGATCTCATAGCCAGTGTTAATTCATTGCTTTGTAGGGTTGACTTCACAGCTGAGGGCACAGATGATACTAGTATCTGATCTGGTCATTGAGAGCTGGAAACGGTATCTGGCAAGTGGTCAAAGATAATATGTTGGTGGCAGAGATAGATCTATGATATTTATGTGGTGAAAGCACTAAGTTAGGAATCCTGGGTCCTATCTCTCAGTGCAGACTGTTCTACTGGATGAATTTTGGGAAAGTCATTTATCCTCCGTGGATCTCAGTTTCTTCAACTGTAGGAAGAAAGGAAAGTAGTATTCACTGAGTCCCTACTACGTACCAGCACTCTGCTAGATGTGTTCTCAGGTTCTTGTTTAATTTTCACAACAACCCCATGAAATCAATATTATTCAGTCCCGCGTTTTACAGATGAGGAACCTGGCAGAGAGGTACATAATTTGCTAGATAATGGCAAAGCTAGGACTTGAAACTAGGTGTTTCCAATACTCTGCACTTACATGAGTACTGCCTCTACAAAAAGAAAAACTGGCATTTTTCTCTACTTACCCAAAGATCATAGCCCTTTGTTTAGGTTTCAGTGTGCTTTTCTCAGAGTGACACTCGCACCTCCATGGCAGCTGATCTGAAACTCCAGTGAGGATGAGTCTATTGTAAGTTAAAACTGCCTGAGCTTCGAGTACTTGATTCACAGTTTGGTTTGGGCCTTCCAGGATCAATGTGAGCTTAGTGCACAGGCCTGGTTTTGTTTGTCTCTTCTAGAAAACAGTGATATGACTGGTTTTATTTAATATTCCCAGAAGTTATAAATTGGTCAGTGGTCAACTGTTTCAGGAGGTAGCATAT